GTTGAGAAAAGATAGTAAAGGAAATCTAAATGAAATATTATAGGAAACATTAAAGGGAAGGATATCGATAATAAGGATAATAAGCACAATAGCCTCCTTATCTGTTCTTCGGAACTCACATTTTTTCTCGAACTTCACTCTCGGAACAGATAATGTCCACAGAAAAATTTCCCAGCATTTTTTCGCACCAAATGGAAGCTATTGTTTATATATACAGAAGCAGCGACAATATGCAACAACAACAACAAAAATACAACAAACACTTTTATTTCACCCCAGATCTAGAAACAATATATTATAATAATTATTGTTATAAATTAAAAACAAAATTGATAGGGGTGCTGGTTACCCATAATAGCGCAGGAGAGTGCAGGTGCTCGTGAACGAATAATAAACGCTAATTAATGCAAATACATGAATGATCATGCAGCTCTTACATGCACAACTTAAGCAGCTGTGATGATATTAAAGCCTGAAAAAATTCAGACTTGAACGGAATCAAGACCAATGGTCTCTGGGTTATTTATTGGTGCAAGACAACTGGGAGCTGGTTGCGTTGTCAGTTTGTAATGTACACACCCGTAGATGGTATATGCTATAATAATCACCTAATAAGCACTCCCCCCTATTCCAAATTCTTTAAGCAGCCTCTTTATACAAGCTAAGCGCACCCAAAGCGACAGTGACATTCAAGGCATTAACATTGAATAGACCGATTAGATTATTGAACTATAAATGAAGTCTGAACGCAATATTGAACATTATCCTTGAGTTAAAATTTCTGTTTTTCATTAAAGTACTGTGGCACATTGTGATATTTATGAAAAACGAAGAAACGCCCCCTCTTCCAATTAGCGAGCCCCCTTCTACTACCAAATGTAAATAGCCCCTCTTGGAGCTAAATTGAAGAATCGCAATAACCTTCCTGCTGGATCTATGAAAGGTAATACTCCTGTAAAGTTGCATACCCTGTGAGAGATTCCCTTCTCTTGCTGCTCAGAGAAAGAGATGGGAATTGCTGTCTCGCAAGGCACTTTAAAGTGCTAACATTTATCATAACTTTATCTCTTCAATCTGTATAATGCCGTCGCATTTTCCTTTAACCAAAGAAAAGCAGCATTGAAAGAAGAAATGTTTTTGATTTTTGATGACTCCAAAGATGATGTCCCTGCCATGGAGGTTAAATGTTGTAGAAAAACTCGAGTTCGAGTGGATCCCGTGGAGGTGGTACAGCTACAACATAAGATTCCCTTTAGCTTCCCTCGGAAGTTTGTGTTGACCAGAGCGTACACAAATGGGTTGACAGCGGAACTGAACAGTATTAGCGTATGAGTAACGGCGTATACGTCTTCACTGATACTGAGAGATGCGTTGCTGCCTAAGTTGTGCACAATTACGTCAGGCGCCCAACAGATTCCAAATATAGCAGTGACAGTTACCGCCATCAGAGTGACTCGTTTCCGCACTCTCAAGACGCCCTGTTTATAGAGAAATAAATCCACTTAAGATAGTAACAGATGAATGAGCAAAGTGGTTTTAACGTACGATTCCTGGGAACAGGATCTTTCGTGCATAAACCTGACGTATTCTCGAATTTACACAGTAGCATTACCCTAACGGTGTTAATAGAATAAAAGTTGGATTAAGGCAGAAAACTTTATGCGATAACACAGGGGAAATTAATTTGCGCCTTGTGTTGAAATCTTTATTGATATTAATTTGGAAGTGCGGTCCTGGACTACTCGCCTGGTAACTGACCGAGTGGAAATATAAATTCCTTTAAAAATAACGAATAATACCTGGATCACACACTGAACAAGCCTTTTAAGTATTCAGAGTATTTACAAAGGTGAAGACATTTCAAAAAAAACAAAAAAAAAAACAAAAAAAAACAGAAACCATGATATTTTGTATGCGCCTGTTTTCATTGGTTACTGCACGATGGAGAGCATTCACTTAACAGTAACGCTCCCACAAAACGTTTCCAGAATGTTCGGGGCACTAGGATATAATCGAAAAAAACGTAGCTATCTGCAAGTTTTAATCATGAGCGTTCACTTGAATACTTCAGTAGTTATCGTCAGAGAGGCCAACGAAAATTGTTCACGTATTGATCTTGTTTCTTAAAGGAACTTTGTCACGGTTTGTGCATCTTGAAAATTTTAGCCAAAAATTTTCAAGGCTGTCGTTTATAATCGGTGTCAATCTTCTCGATCCTTAACCATCCTTGTTGCTTTACGGTATATTACTATATCTTTCGTGTCTTTCTATCTTAGTAAAATGTTATTTTTAGGTTTCCTTTAATTTATAGATACATTTGTAAGTGGCCAATATAACTCAGATTACGGTGACTGAAGAGCTCCTTACCCTCTGTTGGAAGGTTAGTTGATTGTCGGGATCATGTTTAAACCACAGGTTGCACACGATCCTGGAATACAACCCAGCCATTAGTACCATGGCCGCAATTACAATGGCTGACCAGTACGAAAAATAAACTTTGGAAATCCATTCTTCACTCCACGCACAGGCATTGTCCTTTACGTTTAAGGCTAGGAACACTGGTATGTAGACTATCAATGCGAATATCCAAGAACCGGGAATGATCACCTGAAACAGCGAAGCGTAAAACGATTAAGATAGCGACACAAATACTATTTTAAACCTGTTCCGTTAAGGCTTCTTTTAGAGATGCTTTTCAAGGAATAGCATTACGCATCACGCTGGTGATGAGTTAGATCAGTGGAACTGGTTTGAAAGCTTTCTTTGTAATTCTATAGTTCACAATTATTACCCGTAGTACTAGTCGAGGTTGCTAGTGGTTAATATTCGCCGAGCCGGCGACATTTCATCAAAAGGAATTGTAAAGTATTCTTGATTTTGAAACCACCTCGAGTTAAGACATTTTATGAATTTCATAGTTTTAATATCGCTAACCTATAAACAATGACACTTAAGCTGCTTTTAATTTTCGAAGTTGTTCTACATCTGAAGCGTGAACAAATCGTTTTATGCCGGTTTTCACCGATAACTTCACGGCTAAGAATAATAAATCTGTACTTGTAAATACTGCCAAGCCAAATCTTGTAGTTTTCTTTGTCTTATTGGGGACAGCACGAAGCACGTCAAGTCTTTGCCACCCTAGATCAGTATGGAGGAGGAAGAGCCTCAGCTGGGGTACTAAACTGAGACTATTCAACAGCAATGACAAATCAGTTCTTCCGTGCGGGGCAGTAACGTTAACCTGGAGGCGCACTAAGAACTTGGACTACATAATGCAGGTCTTAATGAACATCTGTCTCCGTCAGATTTTGCGCATCAGATGGCCAGAGCGTATGTATAACCAAGAACTCGTGCGAAAAATCGGGCAGGCACCCATCACCAGTACCATCAAGAACAGAAGGTGAAAATGGATCGTACGTGAGCTACGCAAAGAGAAGACCGACGTCACCCGCTAAGCCTTGGATTTGAACCCTCAGGGAAAAAGGAAAAGAGGAAGACCAGCTCTGGCATGGGCATGGATGGAGGTTCGTATTCAAGGCTCTAGTTCCAGAGGGAAGGAAAAGGAATACCTGAGTAATGGGGCAGCTGCCTCATAGACTGCCAAAATGTCTTCTTCAGTTACGGTACAAAACAAAGAAAGCATTTTGCTTATAGACCCTTTTCACAAATGCCTGACTATTTCGAATTAATTTGAGTACCCAATCAGAATGAGTAAAAAACATATTCCACTGGTTCGGTACATACTAATAGTAATAATTAAACTTTGTCATTGACGCACCTTCAGTTTACGCTTGGTAAGTTTTCCTACGTTACCAACAGGATAGATTACTGCATAATATCGTTCAGCGGCAATTGCAGCCAAAGTAACCACCGAGGAGGTTCCAGCAATCCATGCGAGGTTTCCACCTGTTATTATTTTACATAAAACTGTTCCAGCTATCCCTTCTGGGTGGGTGGGAGTGATCTTGAAGAATGTCCCCGGTGTAATAAAGGTCGCATACAAGGCATCCGCTACAGCCAGGTTTACAAGTAGATAGTTGATGGGAGTCCTGTGGAATATCATAAATAAGATGAAGAGTAATAGAGGATATTACGTGCCCGCTTAAATATTATAATCGGCGCTAGTAGCAATGTAAATACTGTACTTGTAAACACACTTATATTATATTATATTGTATTATATTATGTCATATTACATTATACTATATTACTTATATATTATAATTGGCACTTGTAATAATGTAAATAATGCTCTTGTAACAATGTAAATTCTGTACTTGTAAACACACCTACATCACTTATATATTATAATTAGCACTTGTAAAAATGTCAATACTGTACTTGTAATCACACTTATATTACCTATACACAATAATTAGCACTTGTAACAATGTAAATACTGTACCTGTAAGCACATGCAGATAACAAATAAAATTTTAAAAAAATAATAATAATCGAAGAACTTTCAAAAAAATTAACCTGTTTATAGTTCTCTCAAACGTTCTCCCACGTTCACATCAGACTATGTAAATCACAAGCCAGCAATTTCCTATTTCAGTTCACTGTTATTTAAAGTTAAAGCCTTCAGTAGTATTTTAAATTAACTTTGATAATTTAGTTATCTTGGTGTCAACATACCTCATGTTTCGATGTTTCTTTATGATCGCACAAACGAGACAATTTCCAACGATGTCTATCACGACGAGTACAGAGTGTACCGTTGCTATGGCAATGCCAGATGATTGAAGCATGACTGAATGTTGTCGATGTCACACAGTCGCGAAGCCTTCTAGGTTTAATTAAGAGAAAAGGAAGAATGAATTCCTTACAGCTTAGCTGATCACTGGTTTACTGCGAGAAGTAGTAAAAATGGAGAGGAAACATCGTACCTGAATTATTTGCCAAGTTATGGTTTGATAATTTTCTAACCACGTAACTTAGTGAAGAGGCACATCAGTTTTACGTACGCTACATTGTCTTTGTGTCAATTACAGGGGCCCACGTGTTTTAAAATGTATGCAGGTGTTTTCTGAGGGAGCGCCAATTATCGATATCAGCTAGCTTAGCTAGCGATTGAGTGGATTTGCCGCCATGTTGCATGGTCTCAGTCTTACTCCCAATGGCGCTTTTGTCTTCGCAAACCTAAAACAAGATGGCGCTCGCCTGATCAAAATACGTTCCCTAAAGTCTGAACTCGCCTAACAGGGGACTAGTATGTATTAAAAACCAACCAGTACTGTAATATAGACCACTGATGTACTAACATTTTATCACTGTTCTTACACTGAGTACGTATTAAAAGCCAACGACAAAATGATAAAGAGAAGCTATCTCGACAATTAGATTCAATTCCCGCCTTTTGGGTTTCTAAAACTACAGAGTCTTACCATTGTAATTTTCTCTTTAGCAAGAGTGAGTACAAATAAAGATTGATTATTGATTATTGGTTATGTATTGCTTATTGAAACATATGAAAACTGTCCACCAGGCAGGAATATTAAAAACAAAAACAAAAACAAAAACAAAAACAAAAACAAAAACAAAAACAAAAACAAAAACAAAAACAAAAACAAAAACAAAAACAAAAACAAAAAAAAAAACAAAAACAAAAACAAAAACAAAAACAAAAACAAAAACAAAAACAAAAACAAAAACAAAAACAAAAACAAAAACAAAAACAAAAACAAAAACACAAAACAAAACAAAACAAAACAAAACAAAAATAAAAAAGATACAGAAACACACACATACACAGAGAAATAAAAATAAGAAAAAACAAAGAAAAAAAAAAAAGTCAAACAAAAACAACAACGACAACCAACAAAAAAATAGGTCCGCAAAGCGTACTTGTGTGAGCTTAGATTTACTTTTATTCCATTCAGTTGGAGAGCCAGTTTTAAAGTCAGTATTCGGGAGTTAAAGTGCTACAAGTGAATAGGCCATCACTAGAAAGATAAAGGTATAAATTTAAATAAACAAGGTAATATTGACTATTAGGTATCAACACAGGTAAGTTGTTATTAATTTTACTGAAGACTGTTCACAGATATCAAATTAACTTGTACATGTACTGTCAAGAGGGTTTGCTGTAATATCTAAGCCAGTTACATAATAAAGTCAGCAACTGAGAATTAAACAGTTGGTCCCAAATAGACACCTTGCCAATGGTGTCGATTCCACTGAAGTTCTGAATACGTTTTGTCATGACTGGAAAGAAATATTGTCATGTGGAATAAGAATAATCCATTTGCTTACAGGATGTAGGTTCTCTTGTTGATTGCCACCGTATCGAACGCTCAGGTCATAAAAGCCTACTGAATTCCTCCCATAAGACCTAGCGATACGCTACACGTAGACAAATGAATTCCGCCGACAACAAGTCCTCCAAGTAGCAAATTTAAACGAGCTATCATAAAAAAATAAAAAAAATATATAAAAATACTGTATCAATTTATTTGGAATTTTTTAGAAATTTATGTTTTATTCAGAGCTGTTCTAAAATATGATGATTGTAACGACAAATAACACCGTTTTAAAACAACAGACAGAACATATGTTCCAGACAGTTTGATAATGTGAATTGAAAACATCAACTGTCATCTGAAACCTAATTTACAATACCAAATGCTCGTAGAGTAGATTGACAGCTGACTTCAATATTTCGCAGAGGAAAATTAATTGTTTTTCATTGGAAATATGATTTAGTTGGTCGTCCATCATTCTACACCACTCTAATAGCTGGTTTTCACATGACGTCACTAAAATTCAAACTACAAAACTATTGATCCTCCTGAGATTAAACTTTAATGATGTATAAGAGCAGCTGAAAACTAATATTTATACAAATTTCTGCTCCGAATGGGTTCTTGGTTTTGTAATACACTACGCTTGAATTTCTAAGCTTTTGCGTGACGCGGCATTTACATGATGGCCTGGAGAGCTGTCATGATGGTTAAAAAGGTGACTTATTTCGGGGAATTTCGCTATCTGAACAGTGCGTGTTTTAAAAAAATATATTATTTTAATGTTTCAGAGTTCCTCGAGAGATAAATTCACGCTTTTGTAGCAAAACTCAGTGACAGATGCTTTTGTTGGTTGCCGGCCGCCATGTTGGTGCCCATCCGTATGGGCACCAGCATGGCGTCTCCATACAAATCTCTATAAATTTGGGTAAAAAATTTTTCCGCATATCTTGCATAAGAAAAATTGCCGTGACCAGAGTCTTGGCGAGAGTCTTTGCATATTTACCTTCTTTCATTTCCCAGATTCTGGACTTAAACCATTGAACGGTTTGGATTTTTATTTTGATCTATTTTGAATGGCGTGACACTGAAAACCAGCAATTAAAATAGGTGAATCAGAAGAATGGATAGGAACAGAATTAAGCATGTTTCGTTTGTTTTGCTTTCTTGTTTACGATGTAGCCTTTTAAATCAGTTTCCTTCACGAACGAATTTTAAATTGTACGGATTACGAAGTTTGCCTATATTTTCAGTGAACCCTGTCTTGGCTGAGTTGAGGATAAATACTTAAAATTTATTAACTTAAAGTTGGTGTGGGTAAATTATCGTCAGAGCAAAGTGATATAACTCCTACACGCGTGTAACACCGCGTGCATTTAACGCAAACCGTCATAGTCATATTCTTTCAGATTATCGATCAATAACGAAGCGCGCGAAGTCTAAAAATGGAATGCAAATTAATGGCCCTGCGAGAGTCAGACGGCACAAGCGTGTTCCGAGAGAAATAGGTGGAAAATGAACGCCAATTTTCGTTTTAAAAATTGTTTTAGGAGCACTTGCTCACGGGCTTGAAAAAGCGTCAAATCTTCCACCATTCAGTTTTGTTTGTCTGAGTTTGAGTGAGTTATGACGTCACTCGCGCGCTTCGCTATTGCTCATGTTGATGATATTGAGCGCGGTCTCATAGCTACAAAGGTATTCCCCTCGTAGATCACATTGCTGACCACAAAAAAGGAAAACTGTACAGAATGTTGGGCGGAAAATGCAAGGAAATGTATTGAACTTGACGAAAATATTGAAGAAAGTGCTGGAAAGACAAAAGTTTTGGTTACGAATGTAATCGTTCAGTCTTCATGCCAAATTGGTTTGACTCAAACAAATGCAATGAAAATATAAGGATAAATCATTTCGGTTGTTTGATTGTTCTCCACGCATGTCAAGAATCTCGTTTTCCTCACCTTTACAAGCTGCTGC